AAAACTTTAGGAGGTAAGTTGATAATTTAATTAAAAAAATATTATTAAAAAAAAGTATATAACACTTGTAGCTTATATGTTAGCGAGTGGATAATGTTCATGCATCTTGGGAGATACATGTGGTGTTTTCTAATGGACAAATGCTAGCTTTCAAAGTAATGCTGGAATCTCCTTAATGACCCCTTTATTGTTGGACAACACGTGTGGTCAATAAATCTCTGGTTGACGCCAATGATTTTTTTTCTCTTTGATTTTCATGTCAAACTCTTTAATATTTCAAAACAATCTTTTAACTTGTTTTTCTTTAGATTTGATCCCTGTTTTTCAATACTCTTTATTTTATTTAAAATAATTTATAAAATTTAATTTTTTTAATTATATCTTTTTTCGTCAATCATATTTGGTCTCATTATTTTTTATTACTGTATTTTTAAATAATTTTATTGATTTATTTTATTTTTTTAATGTCATCCCTTATAGTTTAATTTAATTTAATTTAATTTTTATATCAGATTTGATTATTGTTCTTTTGATTGTTATTTGTGATAGCACTGTCTAATCTACCATATATTGTTCGCTTTGGGCCTTCTCGTCTTCACAGTTTTGTTCCTGATGGCTCGAGCTCACTTCTAAGCCTAATGTCTAAAAACACGTATAATATGTTAACAACTAGCACCGTTAATAAGATTAGCTACCACTGTCTCGCCTGCTTATGTGGGATATTACAATCCACATCATTAAGAAGTTCGACAATCCCGTCTGCACAACTAAATAGTTAATGAGATCAGCTCTGATATCAAATATAACAGTCTCGTCCAACCTGTCATATATTATTTGTTTTGGGTCTTATCGTCTTCACAACTTCGTTGCCAGTGATATGAGTTGGCTTCTGAGCTAAACGCCACAAAATACATATAATAAGTTGGCAACCAACACTCTTAACAAGACAAGTTACCATTTTCTCACTTATCAATGTGAAATATTATATATATTTTTTATTTTTTAATTTTGAATAGTTAATAATTTTGTTTTGTGATTTTTTCAAACTTGCCTTTTATAGTTAATTCGGTCTTATGTCTCAAATTATGGGCTTCAGAGATTAATTTGATTCGACTTTACTTTGATCTTTTTTATATATATATTTTTTAATATTATGTTATTGGTTAGTGTTATCTAAAAAATAAAAATAAAAGCTACTTACTCACTAAATTTTTACATGTAGACATCATTTAACATTACGATTTAACCATACTTTTAAAAGTTTTTGAATATTTTAGTTTTAAATTAATATTTTTTATGTGCTGATATTAAAATAAAATAAAATTATTTTAATATATTTTGAAAATAAAAATACTTTAGAAAATTTTTTTTATAACAATTTCAAATAAATTCATTTTCTTATTTTTTTATTCATTTATTTAACAAATACTATGGGTCAAAGGACATAAATGCTGCTGGGGAGATGAGCAGGAAAAATAAGGATTCTTTTCCCTCAAAACTCTCTAAAATCAAAGAAGAAAAAAGAAAAGGAATCAAATTATCTGTAACTTTTGTTTTCTAAAAAAAAAAAAGAAGAAAAAACACAAAATCAAAAGACAATTAATTAATGGTATCATTTTCTACCATATAAATAAAAAAATTTGAAAAAATATCTCTTACCGTATCCTCTTCTTCCTCCTATTATTTATAATAACATCCACACAAACACCCTTTTTTATTCTCTAGTTTCTCTCTCCAAGTGTTCGTCTCTCTCGCTCTAGAATTTGCAGCTTTAGATCTCTTATCAGATCCTTCAAATCTCTCTAATTTCAGGTCAGATCCCACCCCCTCCCTCTCTCTCTAGAATTTCTGCGTTTTTTATTGATCATGGATCGCTTTAGATCTGCTATTCATTTCTTTGTCAGATCTCCATGTTTGCTTTGTTTATTTTAGATTATTTTGCTGCTCCTGGGCTTTAGGGTTCAGAGCTGACATGGGTTTCTTCTGTTTTTCTGAAATTTGGTTGCAGATTTGGTTTTTTGTATCGGGTGACTGATAGATTTTGTTAGAGTTCGGTGCTGATTTTGAATGTTTAGTTCCATTAAACATTTGGGGTTAAGAAATTTTGTTGTGGGTTTGATTTTGTTCTGGTTTTTGTGATGTCGTTGTTGCCGAAAGGTGATTCCATTCACATTCGTGAGGTGTGGAATGACAATCTCGAAGAAGAATTCGCGCTTATCCGTGAAATAGTTGATGATTTCCCTTATATTGCCATGGACACTGAGTTTCCGGGCATTGTGCTGCGTCCGGTGGGTAATTTTAAGAATAGTAATGACTATCATTACCAAACTTTGAAGGATAATGTGGATGTGTTGAAGTTGATTCAACTGGGTCTTACCTTTTCAGATGATCAAGGGAATTTACCAACTTGTGGCACTGATAAGTATTGCATTTGGCAGTTTAATTTCCGCGAGTTCAATGTGAATGAGGATGTTTTTGCAAATGACTCGATTGAGCTTTTGCGTCAGAGTGGGATTGACTTAAATAAGAACAATGAAAATGGTATTGATGCTGTGAGATTTGGTGAGCTCTTGATGTCGTCTGGGATTGTGTTGAATGATAGTGTGTACTGGGTGACTTTTCATAGTGGTTATGATTTTGGGTACTTGCTTAAGCTGTTGACATGCCAGAATTTACCAGATACACAAGCCGGGTTCTTTAATTTGATCAACATGTACTTTCCAACTCTTTATGACATCAAGCATTTGATGAAGTTTTGCAATAGCCTTCATGGGGGGTTGAACAAGCTTGCAGAGTTGTTAGAAGTGGAGAGAATTGGGATATGTCATCAAGCAGGTTCGGATAGTTTGCTTACAGCTTGTACATTCAGGAAATTGAAAGAAAATTTCTTTAGCGGCTCATTGGAAAAATATGCCGGTGTGTTGTATGGTTTAGGTGTCGAGAATGGACAAATTACTCATTGATTATGAAAAATAGAAAATCCCCCCCCAAAAAAAAAGCTTAGAAAAATGCTTTTTTCAACTCTATGTGGTGCCTGACACTAGAATTCATGTACACTCTTGTTCAACAAGTTTATTGATATATGAAAATGCTTTCTGCCTGCTTGCTTCACTTTCTGAATAAGAGTCAAATAATGTGCTTAACTTCATGGTGACATAAATCATTTTGTTAAATGAAGATACAACATTGATAGTTCTCTTCGCAATTCTGATACTTAGTTTATCTTTATCCATAGCCAGCTAGTGCAGCTTCCAGACAACTGAATTCTGTTCCAGGGACAAGATTATTTTTCCTGTTCATTTTCTTAGTGATTGTTGGATTGTTTCTCTATGAACTTTATGTATATCTCTGCTTCCTTGATATATGAATTGTTTCTTATGCGTGCTCCTCCTTGGTTCTTAGTTATAGATTTATAATCATCTATAGTAGTATCCTGCATCATAGAGTACTTAGTTTCAAGTGTCAATTACTGCTTTTAGGTTTACAAAAACACAATACTGGTTCACAGATGATGTCAGATAATAAATGATGTGACATCTCCTTATACCAGCACGAGTAAAATCTCCTCCTTCCCCTCCTCCTCCTTGGTTTTGGTTTCTCTCTCATTGCGTTGGCCTCAGTAATGTGTATACTGATGGCAGCTCTGTCTGTTGATTGTTTGGGTTTCTTTTATTGTTTAGAAATTACTTTGCTCATCATTTTCCCTAGCATTTGCACCATCCTTTTCCGGTTAAGGTTTTTCTCAAGTTACCTGTCAAAATTACTTTTGCTGCATTCATATCTCTACTCAACTGCTCAATGTCAGCTATGTTACTTGGTCAGGTATAGTTCTACTACTACATATTTTTGTGTCTTAGCCGATCCATCAAGGTTGATGCTTTATCAATGTGGAGTTAGTATTTTCTTCCATCTTCTCAATCATCGGACATGTTTCATCTTTTCAGCATAGACACCTTTTGTCTTCTTCCAGCTTACCTTGTTATTCTGATTTATTTTTACCCAGTTGGATTTTTTGGGAAATTTTTTTTAAAAGAGCTTGCCTTCTTTACCCTGAAAGTAATGCAGAAGGTCTCAGTTCCATGATCTTTACTGCAATAATCAGATTTGGCAGAAAATTGACTTTGTGGCCTTGAAATCTTTTTACCTTTTGAGTTCACTAGAGGTTCATTATCCAAGCAGATTCTAAAGATGATGCTGGCTCGAAGTCAAAATGTAAAAGAACTGGACTTGAATTCTTGATGGCCTCCATGAGTGGTCAAAATGTAAGAGAACTGGACTTCAACTTCTTGATGGCTTGCATGAGTGGTCAACAATGATAAAATGGTACCGTTAGTATCTTGTAGAGTTAAGTGGTTAGTTGTATCCCAATTCCCATTTGCTCTGCTCATGTACCCATTTCTCATGGTGTTCGAGATGCAACAAGCATACAATTGCATTGCAGTTTGCAATGGGAATTTTCAGGTAATGGCATTTTTCCTTTCGAAGATGACGTGGGTCAACTATGATGCTTTATGAATGTGATAGTGCATTAATTAGCACCGGAATCATAATGTTGTAAGGTGTAAGATGATGTTTATTGCAGGAATTTCTCGGTTGTGCAGGTCTTTTTCTTTTTGGTCAGCTTCTGGGTATGCCAGGATTTCCTAATAAGCTATTATCTGTATCTGCCTTCTGATTCTTCTATCTTTTCCCCTTCAATGTTTTCAGACTCTTTTAGCATCAGCTAGTTAGCAACTGCTAATGGAGTCTTGTGATAAACCCTACCGAATGAAGAAAGTGGATTTCTATCGGCCGCAGAGTTGGATATTTGCTACAATTCACATGCCAAGTTGATAGAGAACATTGATAAAATCCATAAATAATTATTTTCAACGTGATCATAAATAAATAATTTAATAAAATCCATGTATTTAATTAATAAAAACTTGCATTTAAAAATAATAACTAATAAAATAAGATTTCTTATTCGTTAAAGAAAAGAAAAGGAATTAAATATATCCGTTGGACCGAGCTCTGTTTCGATTCAATTTTATCGAGGCCCGGCTGGATATTGGACCTCAGGGCCTAGGATAAGGAATTGAACGACAAGAAGGTCGCTTAGAAATTTAGGGCTTTTTTTAAAGTTTTTGCCGTACTTTTATTATCGTCTTCCTTTACGACCCTCCCAGTGGCTGCGCCTGCAGCAGGAGGCCTGCCTTCACCTTCAAAGTTCTTTGTCCTCTTTCTCTTGCATCAAGCCATCTTAAGTTTCAGTTAATTAAAGTCATCAAATCTTGATCTTGTTCTGTCCTGTTTGTAGTTGATCAGTATTGTTGGAGTACTGATTTTCTGTTTTGGCTTTCTTGTGGTTTTGCAGTAAGGAGATTCTAACATTATCAACAAATCCCAAAATGTCAGGGTATGTAACTGTTTTAATAAATTATAATTTTAACCCATGTTTGTTTGTGATTTCCTGTTTTACTAGCTATTATTGTGTGTTTAACCCATGCTGTTAGAGATTAGTTTGTAATTTATGATTTTGGGTTTTTCTTATTGGTCAAAATGCTGTTGCACATTTGATATGCTAGGTGCTTCTTCTTCTTCTTCTTCTTTTTGCTGTTACTTGTGGTGATTGTTGACATGGTGAATTGATTTATTTCTCTTGAGAATTGCGAATGGTTTTTATGCTAGAGTTTGGGCACGTTTCAACCCATCATATTGCAAGTGCATCTTGATTTCTTGGAATTTTTGGGCTTCCATTCAATGATTTCAAGTCTTAGCACTTAAGGGTGGTGCATTTTGTATCCTCTTCCTTCCCCAAAATAAAAAAACAGAAAGTATCTATCGTATTTATCTGATGTGGGGTTTTTGTTGTTTGATTCTTGAACTGGAAATGATGGTATGGGCCATCATTAGTTATTGTATTTGAATCTCCACATCTTTGCAGTGAAGAGACTCCCGCTCCTGTTGAGACTCCTGCTCAGCCTCTTGAGGCCATGGACTTGATGACAGCATTACAGCTTGTTCTGAAAAAGTCTCTAGCTCATGGTGGACTTGCCCGGGGCCTCCATGAAGGTGCTAAAGTGATTGAGAAGCATGCCGCCCAGCTCTGTGTATTGGCAGAGGACTGCAACCAGCCAGACTATGTCAAACTCGTTAAAGCACTCTGTGCTGATCATGGTGTAGGCTTATTGATGGTTCCCAGTGCTAAGACCCTCGGCGAGTGGGCTGGAGTAAGTTCTTATTTATTAGCTTTTTTATATGAATCATTAATGTTTTTAGTCTACATATAGCTTGGATGTAAAACTATGGTATAGTGCCTTTTTTTTCCTCATCTATTTTCTGTAGCACATCATGTTTTTCTTGCCAGTGATGGAGTTTTTGTTAGCTAGGTCAAAAGAGTAAAACAGCTTGTTGTTTCGTATTGAATTAATAGATGTTGGCTTATTGCAGATCATGTTACCATTTTTTTCCTGTGAAAACTTGCATATGTATTTCCATTAAATGATTTTGTCACAAAACCATAACCTTTATTTACTGTACTGCTTTGTTGTCCCTTCATGCAGTTATGCAAGATTGATTCTGAGGGCAAGGCCAGGAAGGTTGTTGGTTGCTCCTGTGTTGTTGTGAAGGTATGAGTCCTTTAAGTTATTGCATGTTTGTACTGGATTGTCATCTTTAGGGGTAACATTTTATCCCTTGCTGGTTTGCAGGATTATGGTGAGACAAGTGAAGGCTATAATGTTGTTCAGGAACATGTCAAGTCTCACTGAGTCAAAACGGTTCTAATTTAACAGGGTCTGATTTGAATTTCATTTATAGAGACCTTCATTCCATGTTTCCATGGACCCGCAATTCTATGGATTTTTTTTTTTTAGTGTTTTCCGGTCATCAATCTCATGGTCAGTTTTTATTTTTTTAAAGTGTTTTCCGGTCATCAATCTCATGGTCAGGGAGTTTTGAGTCGTCTAGTTGCCTATGACTTCAATCAAATTGCTTCCTATTGTTGTGGCGAAACACCATTTTACTGATATATGAAATGCAGAATTAGCACATTTTTAAGATTTCAATTAATAAATGACATGGCGGAAATGTTTTTTGAGCATGATAGTTACCAGTTTAATGTTTGTTGCTGAAACACATGCTTTTACAAGCGTTTCCTTCACTTCCTGCTTTGATTGTCCAAGAGTGCCTTGAAGTTGCTTGCGATTTGAATCATCTTCATATTCAAGTTTCTGAGATCTTAGATTTGAGTTCCATAAAATCCCTGTCATGCGCATCCCGTGTCCTCATGCCTTAATCTTAATCTGTTGGGTTTGCCCAGTTATCTGCTGCTGGAGTAAAGTATACAACTCTGTAGGGATTTATTTATTTACAAAATTATCATAAATTTTATTTAAAAAGTAAAAAATTCCTGTATTAAATATTATAACCTTTTCATTTAATTAAAAAAAACTAATCTCCACCCTCTTTGCCCAAACCCAGATCTCCAGACCTCTCATAACAAAAAGAAACTAGATTAAATTGAGTTCAAATAATTCATCTGGCAGGGGTGACCAATTATTTTACATTAAATATTACACTCTCCCCCTCCTCCATCGTCACTACTTAGAATCTGCACTTCAATTTTTTTGCTCGTATTAGACAACCCAGGAAAACCATCACCATGGCCATTAGAATTGCAACTCATCTATGATGGTGAGGTAGCGGGGAGATAAAGAAAAAATCAAGAAATTGAAAAGAAGAAAACGATTGGGAGTAATGCAATACCGTTGAATGAGCATTCTTCTGTGTTATCACGGTGGATGAAAACTCACTGGTATGGATGTACCGTCGTCACCATTGCCAGAGGAGATACATTCATCTTGTTGTTCTTGGTGCTGGGAATCCGAGATCTCCTACCTCGTTCTAGAGGAGAAAGGGAAATCGTCTTTTTGCTAAAGGTGGAGTGTTGAGGAGACCATGGTTCTCTTTAGACCTCACCTGGATGAGGACAGTCCACTGTCACACTCGCTTCAATTTCACCGACCTAGTCTTTTAAACACCATGGATGTTAACAGCAAGGGATGTTTTACTGTGCAGACAATAACAGAAAGACAAAAAAACCCCTAAAACCAAATGCATACATTGTTTTGCTTTTAAAACCAGCAAAGTAATTTAACTGTCAAAAATAATATATCGATTAATTTATTCCTAATTAATCTTGTAATTTCTCAACAGATCATCTGGAAAAAATAATTTTACCTTTACTAGCTAGGCTTTTGGCTTGTGATTATGCTGATCCACGGTGAATTGTCTCTCACATACTATAATAAACTACTGATCTCGTTTATTTTTTTTTATAATAAATGTGATTTTTTAAATATATAAAAAAATAACACCACACTCAAATTACAAGATGATTTATGTTTGTTTAGTAATTTGATTTTCAAAAGTATTTTTAAATTAAAAATTCCTCAAAATGATTTTTTTTCTATTTTTTTCTTATCTTTGACATTATCACATTAAAACCATAAAAAATTATCTAAAAACATCAATTTAATATTTTTTTAATAAAAATTACTTTGAAAAGCACATTTAATAACTAAACAAACACTTGGTATCATCTTTAAAGGTTTTTTTATAGTTTCCATTATTTTAATAAATACATTGAAATAATTTTAAAGAGTTGATCATTACTGATCTCGTTTAATTTTTTTTTTTATAATAAATGTGATTTTTTTAAATACATAAAAAAAATAACACCACACTCAAATTACAAGATGATTTATGTTTGTTTAGTAATTTGAATTTCAAAAATATTTTTAATTTAAAAATTCATCAAAATAATTTTTTTCTGTTTTTTCTTATCTTTGATATGATCACATTAAAACCATAAAAAATCATCTAAAAACATTAATTTAATATTTTTTAATAGAAATTACTTTGAAAAACACATTTAATAACAAAATAAACACTTGGTATCGTCTTTAAAGGTTTTTTATAGTTCCCATTATTTTAATAATTACATTGAAATAATTTTAAAGAGTTGATCCTCCCCAAGAACTTTATTATAAATTATGGCAATGACTAACCTTGTAGAGATTTAGAAAAGGCTGGACAATATTCAGCATGCACTCCATTTTTGTGAGTTTAAATTCTTCATTGGAATACTTAATTGATGACAAATAGAGAGTTGAAATGCTTTGTAACAAGATAAAAGTTGGAGTACCAGACTGAAAAATAAATAAATAAATCTCATGTGTGTGTGTGCACACACGTGTGCACACACGTGCACACACACGCGTGCACACACGTGTGCACGCGGGCAATGTTTTTAAATATCACGTGTTTATAAAGTTACGAATTGTGAGGTGATTTTCATTCAATTTACCTAAAAAGCACAACATAGTTGCCGTAATATGAACAAGAAGAATTTAAGGCCCAATTAGTGATTAGTATTGTTAAGATACTGTTTGGTATTTTAATAGCGAGTATTTTTTACTTAAAAATAAATTAAATTAATATTTTTTTAAATTTAATTTTAATAATATCATGTTAAAATAATATAAAAATATATAAAAGAATTATTTTGTTTTAAACCAGCAGTATATTAACTCTTCAAGAAGCCTTGGAGTTTAGGCTTAGGAAGCAGGCTTGTTTTCCAAGTAACCACCTACTTGGGTTGTAATTTTGGATGTAAAAACTAAATGTAAAACCTGTAAAATATTGAATGTATAATAAAGTTGTTAAAGATGTTTAGTAAATGTTTTGTACAAGGGTTTGAAAATGAGGTTATAATTATTTTTTAAAGTATCTTATATATTAAAATATATTAAAATGATTTTTTTATATTTTTTAAAAATTATTTTTAAAATAAATATATCAGAATAATATAAAATATATAAAAAATTAATTTTTAATAAAAAATTTAAATTTTTTAAAAACATAAATATAATCGCTTTTCAAATGCTAACTAAATCATGTATATTGATAGGATAAAATATTAAAAAAATCAAATATACAGTGGCGGAGTCTATCATTTTATTCGAGTAAAATAATTGTGAAAATAAGCTAGAAACAATGTTTGGTTATTATTTAATGATAAAAAAATATGGATACCAAAAAAAAAAAGTTTTTTTTGTTCCCCATGTGTTAAAAGTAAAAATGATTTCAAAACTATTATAAAAATAAATTTATTTTATATTTATATTTTCTTAACAAAAACACATTTGAATTTATTTTATATATATTTTCTACTCTACAATACAAATAAAAAAAATATAACTTAAAATTACTCTCGTTAACAATTTTTTACCCAAACAACCCTCCCCCGTTAAGTTAACTATCTTTTGAAAGGTTAGGTGTTAACCCTCTACCCCCTCTCAAGTCTCAACACTCAATGACATTGAAAGAGATTAAATTATTAAGAAAATAAAATGAACACCCATGCTTCTAAAATTTAACCTCAAATTAAATATGAAGAATAAACTTCTTAATGATTACAAATTGAAATTGAAAAATATGCAGAAGCAATTATATACCTAAGTATTTTCTCGATTTCTAGTGCATTCTGCAAAGTAAAATGTGTTAATTTCATAAATTAAATTTAAAATATTTAAAAGAATTAAACTTTTTTAAAATATTCTTTTTCTTGCACCATCATTGAAAAGAAAGAAAGAAGAAAAGGACAATAAAATAAAATATGAAAATAAAGAGAGAAATGGAGAAACCCCAGAACCCAAAACCCCATTCTTTTAACCACAGTGAATTAACGGGTTGAATCCGAGAGGAAAAGACTGCCTCTTTGGTAACCCAGCTTGCATGGACAACACCTTGCCAAAACTTAGCTGTGTTTAGAGTTGTAAACGAAACAGTCAACAAATGGGTTTGATTTCTTTCACCTGTGGGTTCTGTAAATATTAATCTACTGTTTGTCTGTGATGTGGGTTTCGGTGAAAAGTCTCTGAATTTTCAGAGAAAGTGAGTATTTTGTGTTTTTGGTTTCTGTGTTTAAGAGAGTGTTGAAATGCCTAACAGTGAGACTGAGCTTGAAGAACGGCTTAAAGAGGCTGGAAATAGTCTCTTAAACCCTCCATCATCTGTTGATGACCTTCTTGACTCCCTTGATGTAATGTCTCATCACCCTTTTCATCTCTTTATGTATTTATATATGTTTGCTCTGTGTGCTTGCCTTTTTTTCTTTTTTATGTTTGCTGATATTGTATTAGAATGTTGAATAATTCGTTTGGCTTAATTATTTGGTGCATGGATATAAATGTTTCGTATTTTTGGTGACGACTGCCAGGATTAATGATTTTTTTTGGCAATTTTGCAAAAAATTGTTGTTGCTGTTGCTGTTGTTGTCATTGTCATCTTATATGGTCTTCATCTTCCTGATTGCTTTCTAGTCGTGTGTAAACTCACTCGGTTTTAATATCTGTTTAAACTCACTCGATTTTAATATCTGTTTAAGTTTTCTTTTCCGGAATTTTCTTGTTTGTATGCCTGTTAATTGGAGTGTTGATTTTGAAATCTATCAATGTATGGTTAATGATTGTTGGATTTTGGTCGTTTTTTGGATTTCATCTCTGATTTCTACTTAGCTTTACATGCCCTCTATAAATATTAATACATCTCTTGACTTTGCTGTTTATTGTTAGGATTGTTGATGGGGGAGTGATTAATTTATGGTCGATAACCATTTCCTGATCAATGTGTTGGGGGAATCTTCCATTTTCACTCTTGTTTCTTCATAAAAATGTATAAGGGAATACTGCATTAATCTGTAATATTATTGCGGGGTATGATGTTGTAGAATGACTATACATATACTCTTGCCAAAGGGCATGGTTGATGGCATTTTAGGATGGGTCAGCAGCCAATGAACTTGTGGTCAATCCAGTTCCAGC